ATCTCAGTATCGATCTCACTTTTTGAGACACCACGGGACACCTTCGGACACCTCGGGGCACCACCTCGATCTCACTGTCGATCTCAGTATCGATCTCACTATCGATCTCACTCAACGGGACACACCACGGGACACCGCGGGACACCGCGAGCCACCGCCAGACGGACGGACGCACGGGCGGGCAGGGGAGAATCATTTGTCTTGACTTTGCCCTAGCAACGGCGGACACCACGGGGCACCACGGGACATCGCGGGACACCGCGGGACACCGCGAGCCACCGCCGGACGGGCGGCAGGGAGAGAATCATTTGTCTTGACTTCGCCCTAGCAACGGCGGACACCACGGGGCACCATGGGAAACCGCGGGACACCGCGGGACACCGGTGGCCACCGCCGGACGGGCTCGAGGAGGAGAATCATTTGTCTTGACTTCGCCCTAGCAACGGCGGACACCACGGGACACCACGGGACACCGCGGGACACCGGTGGCCACCGCCGGGCGGGCGGAGGAGAATCATTTGTCTTGACTTCGCCCTAGCAACGGCGGGTTCATTCCTCTCGCGCGCCTACGCAGCTTCGCCTCGCCCGCACGCACGACACGAACGAAACGAACGAATTCCCGGTTGAGCGTCTCCGTTGCACTGCGATTTCACCCCCCAACCTCCGACTAGATGTTCTCCTTGGAGGCGCGCGTTCGACCCGAACACGCAGTATACCCATCTTGTAGTGGATCGTTTCCCGAGCAGTGTGGCCAGAAAGAACCCGCCACGACGCATATACCTATACGACCACCCTTCGGGTGACAAGGAGGGGGGGGGGGGGAGAGGGGGGGGAATCAACATCTGACTCAATCGATCTCACTATCGATCTCTTTCACCGGGACACCACGGGACACCACGGGACACTTGTCGATCCCACTATCGATCTCACTATCGATCTCACTCGACGGGGCACCACGGGACACCACGGGCCACCACTGGGACACCACGGGATACCGCGGGCCACCTGTCGATCTCACTATCGGTCTCACTATCGATCTCACTCAACGGGACACCATAGGACACCACGGGACACCACTGGACACCAATGGACACCTCGGGACACCACATCGATCTCACTATCGATCTCACTATCGATCTCACTCTACGGGACACCATGAAACACCACGGGACACCACATCGAGCCTGTCGATCTCACTATCGATCTCACTATCGATCTCACTTTTTGGGACACCACGGGACACCACGAGACGC